TTGCCCTATTAGGGCAACACTAGAAAGGTCAGACACAGATTGTTGGCCAGAGACCTGAAACCTGTTGTATTTCAGATTAAAGTCCTTCATCTGTCCTTTTTATGTAATCTGGTCACGAAAGCGAAATCAACACAGCTCGATAACAAAGCTCATGTGTCGGGATAATGATTTACCCACGGTGAGGTAAGAACAGTGATACCCTCTTCTTTGTTTTGGCTCTATACTCACAGTGTATTATATTTAAAATTAAACCCTGAAGTTACACTAATGACCCAAATAGAGGCCTCTCATTTACCACCTGCCTCTCGTCAGTGACTACATCAGTTACTGAGTTCAGAAGCTCACCATACGTATAGACATACTAACTCAGTGACAGGCAGATAAAGATAATAAATTGTTAGTAAGACTAAAGAATATTATGGAATAAATACATTATACTGTATTTACATTTGGGAAGGCTATTCTTGGGTAATCTCAAACAAGACGTGAATGTATATTACAAAATGAATGCTTATGAGATTAACTATTGCTTTTATTATGTAAGTAAATTATTTGATATAATCCTTCTAAATTGTGTTATTTTATGTCTGCTGGCAGCCAGTTGCAAAGATTGAGATAGAGAGACTCAGATACCCTCTAGTGATGAGCCTGAATGTAATTCTGGTCACAAGAAACAGGTATGTGTAAGATTTCCGCTTAATTTTTATGTAACTTGATTTTATGTATATGACACACATTTTCCCCGTTCAGTGAATGCGATGTTGAAACGTGGGATAAAACACAGTAGTTAGTTTTCGGCTGGTACAAAGAAGGAAGACAAACTGGGTAAGTAGAAACTAAAGCTTCCCCCCCTGACTCATTGTACCGCTGAGAATTTACAGGTGGACCTAGGGAAAGAACTGGATTCAAGAATTGGTTTTACTTGCAAGGAAGTCTGTGCAGTGTGTGTGTGTGTGTGTGTGAGACTGTAAAAACAGCAGCATTGGTCATTTATTTAAACTCTTACAGCAACCACTGTTTAGGTTTTTGCTAATAAATGACTTAGTCTTAGTCCTAGGATAATCTGGGTAACAGAGCACATGACTTTGACACGAGAAACCAGGTGTCCATCAGTAAACACTGGTTTCTTATAACCATGATGGCAAAACGTTTCCTTAACCTTGACCACGAGCATGATCTTTCCCTGACCATCACCGAGCATTTATAGTTGCTTAAAATGAAGACCTTAACGATAAAGGAGGCACATCGGATAATATACGTGTGCTGTATGTTTATGTGACACAGTACATTAACTAGAGATCTCAGACTGAGGAGTGCTCCTCAAATACAAACATGTGGAATGTAAAATGCCATATGACGCCAATAAACAAATAAAACACAACGGAACGCAGCTGTTCAATTATCCGTCTCGAGTTTCCTTTTGTTTTCCTTTTGTGCCTGTGTAATATGTTTTCAATGAAATGTAAAAAAAAATAATCTTGAGGTAACAGTTTTGGTGAGCAAAAAGAATAGATCCCAGAGCTTTTAGCATTACTGTCGATGAAGTTTACTGAAATTAGTTTTGTGGCCGCTTCTGTTAAACCACACCGAAACATTTAATATGTGACCATTTAAGCAAAACGTGCTAGGTTGATTTTCATATCTCCATTCTTTTTTCAACGCCAAACACAATTTTTGCTTTCGTTTTTGCTTCACGTGAAACTGGAACCTGCTGCCTAAGGTTAGACTAAGGTGTATGCAAATGCAAAATCCCTTTAACCACTGAGAAGAATAGAAAGTGCTCATAAAAATTCACACCTGCTTATGGTTTTTTTTTTATATATATTTGTAGGTGTGGGCCGCAAAATGTCTTATCTATCATCTGTGTGAACCGAGGGCGTGTGCATGGAGACAGGAACTTCAGAGAGCTTGTCTGTGTCTAAACCTTAGAGTGAGATTGTTGTGGCAGGAAGAAGGAGGCCCGTCGAGCGCAGTAATAACCTCCTTTTTCCTTTCGAGTGACTTGCTGCTGTGTCACACGTACCGTAAATGTGTCTGTGCTGGGAAGCGATGTCAGGGGTTCTCTCTTTACAGGTGTTACATAAAGAAGGCCCCCCTCTGTAAAACCACAACATGGGGTACTGTGACAAGTACAGTAATGTCGGTAAACACTGTCACAGTTTTAGTCACCGCCGCTGCCGTTGTACTAATAATACTCTTTATGGCAATGTGTTAATGTGGTTGCAGTGTTTTTTCACATTTACATGTTTAATGGACTTTGAATTGAAGGGAATTTGATGTGTCAAGAATAATAAAAAGCGGAAATTATTGACATTGTTTTTGTCTGTCTGCTTGGCCAAGGAAGCTTTATAGCACACTGTAAAAATGTTAGGTATCATATTGGATATGGGGCTGTAAATAAATGTGTGTAATACAATATCTGTGTTTTTTGGGAAGAGCATTGTTCAGGTACTAAAGGCACATTTTTCTAAGCCTGGATGGGGCCTGACAACATGTTAAATTAAGCAAACAGGTTCCAAACATACATAGTTTTAGGGATTAAACTCTTAAAACAAAAGTATGCCGACACTTGAGAGAAGTAGGCTACCGTATGTGGAATATAAATCTCTAGCCAACAGCTTAGCTTAGCATAAAGACTTGAAACAGGGTAAAACGCTTCAGCCTGACCAAATGTAAAACTAATCTGCCTAAAAACAAGACATTATGGGCCAGACTTTTTGTCTTGGAGAGCTGTAACTTCCTGAATTCTTGTTGTCACGGTGAGGTTGCCGTGTTTGTCGTGTGTGTAGCGCCCCCTACAGGATAAAAAAACAGCAGCCCCGGCGCCACGTTTCACCGATATGTACGAAACTCGGTAGGCACGTGTAACATGCCGGGACGTACAAAAAAGCCTCTTAGACCCATACCCGAAACCCCACAGGAAGTCGGCCGTTTTGATCTAAAGTTTCACTTTCGGCCAACTTTTCGCGTTGTATTTGAACGAACTCCTCCTAGGGAATTTATCGGATCTGCTTCAAAATTTGTGACTACAGTCAAAAAATGGTTCTGATTAAAAGTTGTGCTATTTGTGCCTGTTGCTAGCTCTCAGCCGCTTGTTTCAGTGTAAGCAAACCGGCTGCCGGTGGTGACTTTATGTTTAATGTAAAGACGATGGTATCAGTGAGAAGACGAAGCCCTTAATTGTCCGTCAAGTTAGGGCTTATAGTATATCCAGCTTAGCTTAGCATAATAACGGCAACAGGGGGAAAAGCTACCCTGGCTCTGTCCAAAGGGTTGAAAAGATCGGCCAGTGCATTAAACACATAATATCTTATATTTATCACCTCCTCTCTTATTCTCGGAAAGAAAGGGAATAAGCACGGGCTATTTCCCAAAATGTCGAACTTCATTCTTGAATATTTTACTATACAGGCCACAAAAAACTGCCACAGACTAAATATAGCTACACAAAAGTACTGAAACCATTGGAATCACCACCAAGACCCGGAGTTAAATGAGCGACTCAGACAGACCATGTAGGCTATTTAACTTAAATAAATGTTTCTTTATTTATTTATTTCTACATGGATGCAGTGATTTGCATTGAATACAGAAATATAAATAGACATCCTTATTGGGGAGGATTGTGTCTTTTATTTTTGACTTGAAAAGAAGATAACAGTTGTGGGATATCCCAGAATACACAGCCCAAAAACCTTGCTGGCATCAGCTAAAGAGAATGGAAGTGGAAGCTCCCACTTCCATTCACTTTACAACAACAAACAACAACAAAAAAAATCCATGCTCTCAACTTTAAAAAATTGTAATACAATTAATTATTCTAGTGTGAAATGTCAAACGGAAAATCACATTCAGGAATTTTTTTTAATTTATTCTGGCATTGGTTGGTACTTTTTTTTTTTTTTTTTAAACAAAAAAAAAAAAAAAAAAAAAAAGGGTGGTCTTGGTGTGTGAACAATTAGCCAGGTTTCTGTGAGAAAGAACTGGCTATGAGCAGCAACGGGGTCGAGCCCTCTGCACTCAGTGCCGGTTACTGGAGGAGGAGCGGCGGCGTATTTTCCCCTCTCCTCCTTCCCTGAAACAAGTCCGCTCTGAGTCAACACCCCTGAGAACAGCCTGTCAGAAGATTGAGTAACATGATAAGCCTGCCAGATGTGTGATTTTCCCGCAGTTTAAGATTTTTTTTTTTTTTTTTCTTGTTTGGACAGTTTGAGCTTGATAGTATTAAAAATGTTTTCCGGCTTTTTGAGTGCGTTTATTTCCGCAGGTTCACGCACACTGCCGGCGGTCCGCTGTAAAAAGTGACGGGCTCTTAAAACTCCGCCCAGGCTACCATATAATCTCACTTCACTGCTATTATATTATGTTATGTCTGACTTTATTTCACTCATTTTTAATAGATTTTTGTCATTTTGAAAAATCTCCAATCAAAAAAAAAAAAAATTTATAATATATATATAATTATACTGCAGGTTAATAAAGATTATGCTTAATATTTTTTATTTCCTGACACTAAAATAATATTTTAAAATATTGCCCATATTAATGACAAAGTTAATAGTTAGTAAGTAAGTTTATTTCATTTTAAAAATATTTCTTATTTCAGTAATCTGGACATTATTGTTTTTTATTTATTCAAACGACATTTATTAATTATTTTTGTCTATATTAGGTATGTATGTATATGTTTGTATTGTGTTAATATTATTGGAATGTATTGTTTTTAAATAATGAATGTGAATTAAAAGGCGAGTTTCCCTTTAAAACAACACAATCTAGTACAGAGAAGCAACGTATCAGAAGGAAACTAATACAAATCTGAATCAGCATTATTTCATTTAAGAAAATTATACATGCTGGATTTAAAAAACAAAAACGTCAGTGAAACGTAAGCCCTTTCGCCGTGTGTCACTTCTTACAGTGCGGGGTCAAATTTTTCTCTTAGTCATCGATCCGTACCATAAACACATCGTTAATTACCGCTCGTGCTGCTGATCAACTACTTGTACTTTCCTTTCCTTCGATATGGGCTCAGCACTTGCGACCGCACGGGGCCCGCGAGGGAATCCCGGCAGCTGATTGGATAATAGCGGTTTTGCCACGTCACATGGGATCCTTATAACTATAACTATAACACAACACGCGAGCGAGAGTCACCGCTTCAAACCTGTAGATCCGCCGAGGACTCCCAGAGGAGAGTAATATGGTGAGTGAGTTTGCTTCTTTAAACTCTTCATCATTTTCTGTGTGTCTTTAGTTGTTTTTAAAGCTTTTTATGGTGTTTAGAGGAATCCCACTCCTCCTTTCCCATGTCACTTTATTGTGAAGGTGCGTGCTCCTCCATGTGCAGCCTGTGAGCTTTGGCTGATCTCGTGACAGTGTGGAGATAATTCACATGCTCCGTGGGTTTGAGTCACCTGTCACGTTGTGCCATTTTCAGCCCTTTTATACAGCCTGCAACATGTTCAAAATCAGACAGCAAATGAGTATTTTTTTAAATTTTTTTAGTGACTCTATCTGTTATTGCTTGTTTTGATCTGTGAACAGTGCATTTAATTTATGGTGGTGTAAAATAGAAGCATCACATCCACATGAGACTGAAGCAGTGGGTTTGTCATTTTGCTAAGAATAAATAATAATTAACTGATTATTTATTGTTGTTTTTGGGGGCATTTTATGACTTTATCAGATAGGGACTGTGTACAGGAGGGACTGTAATGACAGGAGGGGGAAGAGAGGTAAAGGTCCAGAACTGAGGACCTTGTGGCTCATTGTCAGCACCATAACCCCTATAGACCACCAGGAGACCCCTATATTACTTGTTGTATCCATAGTCTAATGTATAATGCATGTTTTGACTTTATACTAAAGTTTATTTATGTTGTTTTTTTATGTATTTTATGTTATTTTCTAAGGTCCTTCTTGAAGTTTGTTTTGTTGCTAGTTTTGGTAGTTGTGCTTTTTTTTTGTTTATGAATTTATATGAATATTTATGGATTTGTTGTATTATTAATGATTAATGATTTTTAAATGCCTAATGTGTTTCCTCCTGTGTGTTTCGACAGTCCCTACATAAAAACACAACAGACAGGCCGTCTGTGGAGAGTTCACAGGGCGGTGAAACCGTCACCACAGACATAAAGAAGACTCACAGACTCTATCCATCACTGCCAAACATGGACAGGTGAGGCACATCACATCATCTTCATCAGATACATAACCGCATGCATGCATATGACCGCCACGTCCTATGAGCCGGTGCTATTAATAAAAAGGCCGTTCATTCAAGTCTTTTTTGTCACGTGATCAAATGTTTTCAGGTACGAGATCCACTCCGTTGGAGAGAAGCTTCACACGGGAGCAGGTCATCATCCTCACAGCCTGCTGGGAGACACGCAGGTAATTTTAACAGATGCAACATGGGAAGATACGTCTGACAGAACTATAGTCATTGCCATGCTGTCACCGTCTGATTACCAGACCGCAAATAAAATGACCGTGTTCTTTGTGTTACTGGAAACACTCCCAAACAAAAATTCCAAAAATGTGTAAAAGGAAGTTAGTGGATACAGTCATATTGCATAAATGCCCATGTGCCACATTTGAATAGTTCCTCTTTTTTGTTTGCCTCAGTCAGAAGCGTTGGCTGCCTGCTCTGATGTCAGAATGAAAGCACAGATACTTATCTTGGAGGAGCAAAGGCAAGAGGTGAGTACATTTCAGAACCGAGATTGATGTTCATCCCACAACACATGTACCTTTCAGTGTTTAAATGTTCTTTCTCTTTTACTCAGCTTCTTTCTATTAATGAGAAATGGTCTAAAGAGTACCGAACCATGAAACAGTACTACAGAGAGAAGGTACGAAAAGGAACAAATTCATCCAACTCGTTGTTTGATTACTTTACTTATACGTAATTTCGCTGCTTTCCGCCTCGTGTCACATGTTCTTTCGTGTTTTCCTCAGGTCCAAGATTTAAAAGCACTACTGCAACACGATTACAGTCACTTTGAAGAGGAGACGTGTGAGGAAGGAGAAAAGAACATGACATTATATAAGAAAGATAAGGAGAGAACACGGGTAAGTAAACGCAGCCATATTTTAAATCCATATACAAACTAAGGCATTTTAATGGCTTCAATCTATAAAACGTGTATAATAATTTGATCCTCGTGGGGAAATTCACACAGACTGGAGACCGTGATGTCAGCTCTGAGTTACTAAAAGCTCAGAAGGAGGCAAAAGAGCTGCAAGCGCAGAACAGCACTCTGGTCCGAAAAGGGCAGCATCAACAAGAGGAGATCAGACGACTGAACAAGGTGAGTCCTGACATGTGCTCTTGTTTTAGATCGAGGGAGCAAAAACTGTTCCACATCGAGGTGTTTCGAGTGTTTGTTCCCTGCAGCATCAGTGGTATTATAGTTTCATATACTTCCATGTGTTTGTGCAGGCTCTAGAGGAGGCACTGCAACCTCTGGACGTGAGCAAGGAAACACTACAGGATCTCTGGAAACATCAGGTGAGCTTTGTTCACCATCATAAATGTTTGGTTATTTCTTGCAGGGAGTTAGAGGATAAGATCGATACCACTCTCATGTCTGTACGGAAAATATGAAGCTTAGCTTAGCATAAAGACTAGAAATGGGGAAACAGCTAGCAGCTGTATGTTGTTTGCTTGATCCCTTCAGGAAATGCAAAAAATGTGGTTTTATGGGGTTAGATGCTTCATAATTAGCATACAGACATGAGAGTGGTGTCAATCTTATCATCTAGAAGCAAAAAAGAGAATATGGGTATTTTTCTCAAATTGTCAAACAATTTATTTAATGCGTTAGCCCAAAATTCCCATTCAAATCCTCATATCATGTTTCCTTGTCATCCATTTCTAGGCTGAGGTCTACAAGGAAGACTTCTTGAAGGAGCGGAAGGACAGGGAGAAGCTAAAGGAGAAGTATCTGGAACTAGAGAAGAAGTTTAGAAAAGTTTACAGTGAGCTGCGTGTCCTCAAACCTCAGGTACAACATAGCATGTGGAGTTTGTGCTTGTATTCGGCGATGTTCACTGCGTTAAATAGAGAATTAAGGCAAAAAGACTTTAATATAGTGTCTCTTTTTTCCCCAGGTGGATCGGACTCAGCCACCAAAGCCTGCACTTGAATGCACCTGCACAAATCGAGCCAAATCTCCAGACTGGGAGGTCCGTCCCCTTAACCAGCACCACGTGCAGTCACAAAGACGTTACACTCTTGATAACAAATTGTGAAATTCGAACGACCTCCTCGTTATTTGTGTGATAATGTACGTTGCACTTTATGAAAAGTCTCAGGTCAGTGTTTATCATTAGCAGGGTGCGACTTTGCTAGTTTATCGGGCAGGACCACATCCCGTATGTGAGCCCTGTTCTGTTTCAGCCCTCGGCCAACCGTCTGCTGAAGGTTCAGCTTCAGGTAGCTCTTGTTTTGGTCGTACAGAGGCCATTCCACCAGCCCGTGCCTGTTAGGCGACCTACGTGGAGGAAGCAAACACACACACAAAAAAAAACAAAACACTTTTAACAGCCTGTGACATAAAAACGAGAACCTCTGGTTTAAACACTTCCCAAGAGGAGAGAAGCAGCTAAGAGTGAAATCAAATACTCTACCCATTGTGTGCAAAGTTCGCTAGGTAAGCCATGGTGAGCTTGCTCAGCCCCTCCTCTTCTCGTGACACAGGTCCTTCGGGAAATATCAATTATTGCACAGCCCAAACACTATTGACGTGGATAATGTTTATGAAAAGGTACAAAATGAACGAGGGGTCTTCCGGTTTCAAGTACCTGTAACCACGGTGTGCCTGGTACAAAAGGGAGATCTATCATCACAGCGGTCTGCTTTGACAAAAGCGGGTCTCATTCCATTGTACATACATACACAGGCACACCTGCATCTGTCAGGGGGAAGTAAAACTTAAGCCATATTGCGAATGTAAGGGCTGTAATTCTTACTTCTTATAAAGCATGTTCACCTCGGTGGTATGCAGACACTTTAAATATGGGAAGAACAAGGACCAAGCATCCCGTATGTTCCCCGGAGAGTCATTCTGTTGCAGGTGTTCATTCAGTATCAGTTCTATTGCACCTGAGGCCTGCCAGAGAGGAAATATAAAGGGTTATGGGGGCGAAGAGGATAAAGTATATTGGAACATTTATTTTTACAGCATATTTATTAATGGTTGATGTAATTCTTTGGTACATATTCTTCCTGTTTCTTGTTTATTTATCATAAAAAATAAAGCATTGCATGTGCGCGTGTGTTGACTTTTTTACAGTTAGAATAATAGAGATATAATGGCGGGGCTGTCACTTAAACGAGAGGGAAGGAACATGTCCATCACTGATATCACATCTTCCCTTTTCATACCTTGATGCCATCCAGTAGGTCCTAACAACTAATCACAAGTACATTTCAACTCAAAACAAATTAGTTTTAAGGCACATAAATACTACATTATTATTATAATTATTATTATTATTAAGTAGTATACTATAACACTAGAAACATTATATTATCAAGGTTTCACCTATGATACACACAGTGACCAAAAACCACATATTTCATGCTCAAATGCATGTAAATGTCCATGGTACTACCACTGCCAGTCCTCATAAGTTAGTGCTAGAGTCCTGCAGTAACATGTAAACAAATCAATATCAGTGTATAAAAGGTTTTGAGAGTTTACCTCCGGGTATATTTGAATGGGTTGTAAACCAATCTAAATATAATGTTTTTGAAATATAAGCTTGTTTTTGCAGTGTAGTACTTAAGTTTCTCATTGCTGTTGCTCTCACAGTCAAATTGGCAATCATCTGCAGGAAGAATGCTTGAAATTAAACATCAGCTGTAAAGAAACTGATTCTGATGATTTATTTATTTATTTATTTATTATTATCATTAATGTATCAGTATCATAGGTTGGCACCTGGGCCATAGGCAGTGGGTTGCCGGTGTAGTACCAACATAGAGACACTGATGCCACCTGCAGATTGTCCAAAGACAGTGACTGAATTTGGGTCTCCATTAAAGGCTGCTATATTGTCACGAACCCACTGGAGGCCGGCTATTTGATCCAGGAAGCCCCGGTTTCCAGGTGCATGTTCATCTCCAGTGCTTATTTAAAAAAACAGGAAATAATCATTAGTTGAGTAGTAGGAATTTCGCACCAGTACACAATTACTCACAGCAGCACTGAGAAAACTTGGACCTCTAGGGACCTCTACTGGTAGACAGAAAGAAGTGCAGCAATTGGTTTTTTTTTTCTGCTACACAATTCTCTGGTATTTCCACCGCAGCTTGACACTTCAGTTTCCTTGAATTATAAAAATTGTAATCATAAATATGTAATTAAACCCTCCATACATCCAAAACATAATAATAGGAGATACTAGATAATGTTATGATGTCCCATATTGGTAACACTTTATCTTAATCCCCACTATTTTCCACTCATAAGCAGTAAACATATGTAAACAATGAATAAATGGTCCATAATGCTCTATACAACACTATAGCAGTTGTAAACAGATATAAAGATTAGTGTTAATTAATATAAAGCATTTAAAACACATATATAAATTGTTGTAAATCTTCTTTACATGTGTGGGTTCATACAACTGTCCATGAATGCTTTATAACACTCTTGTTATCAGCCAATATACAAATACATTTCAATTGATATTCTTTATAAATAAACCATAAATATTTCTACATGTGTATAAAAACTAAATACGTTTATTATACACTATAAAAATCTAGTAAGCTATCTTTAATTTGAATATTCATATTATGTATCCATCCATCCATTCATTCCAATCCTTCCATTTTTAAATAAGCTCTCAAAGTCCAGGACAATAAACCTAAAACATAAAATGAATTTCAGTCTGGTTCGAACCTTAGGAATCCCAAAATACTGAGACGATACTGAACAACCACCACCACCACGTTCTGATAAGCTGCCAGTGGTGAACCATCGTACTGGAAGGCCCCTCCTGAAGCCAGGCCTCCCCCATGGATCCACACCATCACCTGGACAACACACCAAACAAACACTGACTCAGCTGAAACGCTTTTCCTTGTGCTCTTTTTAAGCTTGTATGTCTCTGTTCCCAAAGCCTGTTTTCCATTTATACGGTTACAGTTATTCACTCCTTGCAGTTAATTAAGTTACTACCTTTTTTTTTTTTTTTTTTTTTAGCTGAATCATTATGCATGTGTGCACGCTCAGCCTACTAACTGGTAGATTGTCTCCAGAGGCAGTCCCAGTGGGTCTGTACACATTAAGGTAAAGACAATCCTCAGACATTTCCACTGACGGATACTGAACAGGGAACGTTTTCCAGACTTCCTCCACAGGTGCCGTATCCTGTAGGCACCTTCCCAGAGGAGACAGAGTGTGATTTAAACAAGACTAAGAGTCTACAGCCATCCTGCAGTTATCTTGAATAACAGCACGCTCTTATTTTGAAATAAAGCCGAAGATGAGTAGTGAGTTGAAACCATTATCATCCTTCATCTGACTGATCAGTGCTGATCATATGAGTTATATGACGTAGGTGTGCATGCTAGGCTCCCCAGTCTATCATCCTCTGTGGGTTCCTGTGCTGTTAGGTGTTATTTCTTATTTATTTTACTTTAATCACTGTTAAACATTAGCTATTACCAGTGTGATCAGACTGCGAGTGATAGTGGTACATGATTGTTGAAGTTCTCCACCAATGGACATGTTATGAAAAATAAATCTTACTAAAATCTCTTAAAAAAGCAGCTTCAATTGCACACAGCTTGACAAATTCACATTTTAATCTCAAATTGAATGCTTTATCTCACGGCTTCATGGGTCTTCAGTCAGAATCTTTAAGTTGAGGTTATTTCTTTTTGCTCAAACTATATTGTATTGTATATTTTACCATGTATATGTATAGGTAACTCATCATTTGTCAATTCAATTGTGATAAATACACCAACAGATCTTCACTTTTACGGGTTGGAGCAGTTCCAGATACATTTTAAACAGACTTTTTGTCAATAACTTTTGTCAATATTTATGGATATTATACATAGTTTTCCCCATTAGTAACTGCACTGTATCCAAATATGTTTATCAATTTTAACCATGTATAACCATGACAACCATTATGAGCTGGAACAAGTTCAGTCCATTGTTAAACGCAAAGCTCTGCAGCAACCTTCTACAGGAACCAGTGTATACTCACATTTTAGGCATTTTGGTGGCATCCCTCACTCCTTTCCAGGGCCCACCTGGCTGGGGGGGCAGCAAACCGCAAGGGACCCAAAGGTGGGTGAGCAAATGGGATGCCTAAATACTCCACCATCTGCTGCACGGCACCTCTCAGCTCTCTACCACACAGGAGCACAGACTGTTTTTGCCACAAACAAAACTACATTTAAAATCTGGATCCACTCATTAGCAGTTCAGATGGGTTTGGAGATTTTTCTCGGTTGCGATTGTGAATATACTCGCCAGCTTGAGCCGAGGAACGCTGCGGAAGCACAACAATCGAGAACAGAAGGAGGAGGTTTCCCATTGCTGATAGAAGCCTGATTCTACTAAAGACGAACCCAACTCACGTTCACCAGTAGCAATTCTTTTATACAGAAACAGGAAATATGACTTACAGACAATCTTACAACTCTGTCCCAAACCTCATCAATCTTACAACCAAAGTGCAAAGTATATATATTTACAAATATATATGTGTGGATGACACTTTTGGGCTGGACAGACAGGTGCACATCGAGTTACAAGATTTAATTCAGCCAATGGTCCGAAAGCAGAAAGCAGACCTGTTCCAACCATTCGCGCACTGCCATTTGAACCCACACGATTCAGTCCTTAAAGGGGAATAAAACATTTTACAAATCCATATATGGCATTCCTAGATATTCCTCAGTTACCATAATGACTCACAAACATGTGCAGGCTTAAATCCTTTAAGACCGTAATGAGGGTTTGAGTAAAACACTCGCAGTTGTGGAGGCGGATTTTGAAGAAATTTATTGGCACAGTTATAGCAGCAATGTGTTCTTGTTTATTTTCAACACTGTTCCCATAACAGTTTGTTTCTATTGGGCAGTAAAAAGAAAACAACCTCTGGCTAATAGTAACGTTTAATTTACAGCAAATCAGTTGACATAATGATGACACTTTGAGCTCAGTTGAAGTGATTGTCAGCACAGTTGCGTAAAGTGCATATGCACACAACATAAAGAAAGTGAAACTGAGAAATATTCTAAATCACCAGATTTGCTTTAGTTGCTGCTTTATAGCTACATTCTTAGTGGTTTAGTCTGAAGATACTTGCTGTTTATAAATAGATGTAGTAATGTATGGTAATGGTTATGTTTCAGGGCCTTAAGGTGATGACCCAATAAAATATATAACAATGCTTTTTAAATGGTAACACAACTGTACCCAGTGCTCAGTGTTGTAGCATGTTGTTACATTGTGATGTTGAAAAAAAAGTACTAAACTGAAATACTGCACTTCTCTGCTTTTTTACAGATAAATATGTTAAATACATTCTACGGAAGTATTTTTTTTTCTTTTTCAAAGGACAGCATTAACAGCCACCAAGCGGATTTAAAGAGACAAATTCTGGCCAGTATTGCACACCAGTTTTCAACCAGTTCTGACACATCGGCCGCTGAACTCTGCCAACTCCACTGCAGGAATATTAGAACATCCACTTGTCAGAGGACCAGTCCAAGAACTCCCCCGTCTCAGTAGAAAGCGGGGTTTGTGTGCTCGATGACACAGCGCCGGCAGTGGCGTCTGACAAACCGCAGAGCCTCTGGCGACACCTCGCAGTCCTGCACGTTGAGAAGCTGCAGCTCGCAGCAGTTGGCTGCCAGAGCTTTGAGCCCTCTGCCCGTCACACTCTCGCAGGCTCGGAGACTCACTCGCCTCAGGCCTTGGCAGTACATAGCCAGCTGCTCCAGCCCACTGTCCGACACAAGCGGGCACTTACCCACATCCAGAGACTTAAGTTTGGGGCAGCTCCTGGCCAAGTGGCTCAGACCGTGATCTGTCAGCCCCTCGCAACCCCTCGCGTTCAAGTAGCGCAGTCTCGGGCAGTAGCGAGCCACGTAGCGCATGCCCACGTCAGTTATGCGGGTGCAGTGGGCCACGCTCAAGTAGCGCAGGCAGCCCTCCAGGCGGGCGACTTCGCGCAGGCCGAAATCCCCTACCAAGCGGCAGTCACTGAGACTAAGCTCCCGTATTGATGGGCAGTGGAGAGCCAGGTGGCGCAAGGCTTCATCCGTCAGTCTGGTGCAGCGGCGCAAATACAGATGTGTTAGGCGGGGGCAGTGGGAGGCGATAGTTCGCAAGCCTTCATCCTCGAGGGAAAAACAATCGGTCATGTCCAGGTAGTGAATGGAGATCTGCTGGCCGTGAAGGGGGGACAGCTGGAGCGAGGCCTCCTGGGTGAGGCTGATACATGTCACCTTGGAACAGCCTGGAGGAAGAGGAAGCAGAGGTTACTATCCTAAAGTAGACGTTCTTATTTAGAGGATAAGGTTAAAAGTTTTCAAGTCTGTCTTAAAACAACCCATATTCTGCTTGCCGTCATCTATAAAATTGAGAGCTGGCCAAGTTAATTCTGATTTTGTCTGAGGGATATTACAGTAGCTGCAGTGCATAGACCTTTCATTACAAAGATGGATGCATATTTGAGAGTTCAGTGGTACAAAAACCATAGGCTCTGGTCTACAGAGATGTGGAAAAAAGTGATATGATCAGATGAGTCATCCTTCACCATATTCTCAACCAGTGGGAGAGTGCACCAAGAGAAGGCCCGAATGCTTGACCCCGACAGTGAGGGTGGCTCTGTTTGGCTGTGGGGGCCTGACTTCGTGTTGGTTTTTCCTTTAATTTGTCACCAGTCTGTACATTCCATGGTTTAACTGAAACTAAGTTGAGGCTTTAGCAGTCTGAGTTAGCTGAAGGAAGTATTTTTTTCCCTCTTTGGATCAGTCACTCCACCACAGCTCAGGAAAGACAAAAAAGACAGCCAGCTTCAGCCCCATGAAAACATTTTTCATTAAACACGGACAGTGGATTTTCTTTCCCATCACTTTTAAAAGCACATTAAGAAGGGATCTCTTGGTGGCTGGTATGAACAGGAGGAATGATGAGAGCAAGCAAAAACAGTTTCATTTCATTGTCCATACGGGCATGTGTGTATTGTTTTAAGACGAACATGAAAAAATGTGGTATACAAGGCAATTTCACTTCTGAAGGCTAAGAGCAACTGTGAGTTACCACTCGAGGGCGCCAGAGTAAAACCTGCTGCACCTGACTACATGCATGCAACTAGAAGCAATGAAAATGTTTGAGTGCAAACAACTCCATGAAAACCAAATTGTGATCAGTTTTCAGGGGGGAAAAATCTTAACCGCTAACAACCGATGTTCTTAGCGGTTAAGAGACTCGATTTGATTATTCTGTGCCTTTCAAATTAAACCCAGCAGATTTTTAAAAGGCTATTTTTACAACAAAGGGCTTATTTCCTGATGCTAATGGTACAGACCTTGCTCTGCCACCAGAGTTCTGTCCAACTCTATGTTATTTGTGTCACTTCCTTAATGAAAGCAGCAGACCGCTCTCCTTACTCACGTTGAGGTAAGTTCTGCTTTCAGCTAAAGAAAGCCTTTCTTCTCCCACATGGGAGCTTAAGGTTGGCAGAGCTTCTCCTGCTCCTCTAATGATTTTCCCAGCTTTACTAGAAATGACTGAGAGCGACTGAGGAGAGGAATTCTTTGAGGTAAAGCCACACATGTGCGTGATGTAGGGTAGCAGACACTCCTCAATAAAACCGAATGAGCCTACCATTAGCCACCAATCGAGGGAAGATGGCTTTGATTTCTTGTTATAATGTATGACAAGTGTATTTCTTTTTACCTGAGAGGTTCAGGTGTTCCAGGTTGGGACAGCGAGACACCACCTCAAACACAGCATCGTTAGAGATGTTATAACAGCCGGCGACCTCCAGGCGACGTAGCTCCGGGCAGCACTGAGCCACCACATGCAGCCCTCGGTCGGTGAGCCTTTTGCAGCCATTCACCATCACCGTCTCCAGGGTCAGACACACATTCGGGGTGTCCTGGCACAGCCGGTGGGTCAGAACCCTGATGGCGCGGTCGGCATGGAGCAGCTCCCCCGTTAGCCGGACGGTGCTCCACAGCCTCGGGTCCCATGCCAGGTTGTACCAGCGGCGGCACACGCGTGCGCAGCGGCACAGCTGATTGGTGGGGAGATGTGAGAAGATCTGCAGAAGGGTGTGGTCGGGGAGGAGGTCGATGGGTGCGTGGTGGTGGCTCTTCGACTGGCGGGAGCGTGTGTGAGTGCCAGGTTGAGGGTGGACCACGGCGACGGTCTCGGCGGGGGCGGAGGAGGAGGAAGAGGAGTTGGACTCATGGCCGTTACTGGAGAGGGCTGGTGAGGAGAGGGAGGAGGACTTGGATGGTAGGATAAGACCAGGGCTGGGGGTGCTCAGAGTCCGTGTGCTGGAGTCTAAACCTGAATAAAAGATGGGACAGAATTAGTGTTTGAAGACCAAAAAAAAAAAAGGTTCTAGAAAATCTCGCCCTTTTAGGTTCAGTTAAATCCCTTTTTTTAGAAGCTCTAATTACAGTCACTCCCAATTTTTTGGGCTTATTTCAAATGTCCATGAGCTCTGAAGAGATAAAACTACGTTGGTCTGGGTTCTTTTGTTTTAGTTTTCTTATTTCCAACCATGTTAATCATCTCGGGACCCATCAGTTTTATCTTCTGGGAGGTCCCAAAACCTCTTCTCACACAGAACACGCCTTTAACATGGTTTAACAGTTTTAGGTGTCATGTTGACCTGGTCATTTGGGGGACAAAAAGCAGTTTCTGATCATGTTTTCACAAAAAGAATAAAGGTCTCTCAAATGTAAAACTTTTAAACTTAGATTCGGACCTTCATTTTCAGCGACGTCCTTGAATGTGGAGTAGACTGCAGCTTCAATTAAAAGACAAATCCACCTTAAGAAATATTTTTTTAATATCATCGTGAGGTTCAGTGCTTTCCAGGAATAACTTTGCAATGAAAACTGTGATTTAACGCTATACTTAAATGTGACTCATGCACTTTTAATTTCCAATATTTCCCAGAATGACTTTTTCACAATATAAAAAAAAAAAAAAAACATGCCCTCAATGACCATTCTGTCATGGAGAGAGCAGCTAATGGTGATCCCGTTAGTGAGCTACCGCGAAGCAGAGAGTTTCCATGCAATAACAAACTAGCATAGCATTTTAAAAGGGTACTGCAGTATTTTAGTGTTTTAGCACTTCCATAAGGTCGGGGAATTCACATGAGATAGACGGAAAACAAAATGGTCAAAACTGAAGCATGAGAGGCTGACATATACAGGCAATCTTATTTGTTAAGTACATTTCATTCACAGGGAAGACTATTATAATAAATACTCTAGCCTTAGTGGGGTCAGATACCAAAAACATAAGCTCCTACAGTTCCAATAATGCAACCTATAACATCTTTTTTATTAGATCCTCCCTGTCTGGTAGATGCCAACATCTTCTGAACTCCATGCTCCCAGTTTTTAATGCAAGCTTTTTGTGAAGACACCATAGTCTCCGAGCCCAAGCTGAGATAACCCCGGGGTTGTTTTCTCAAGACTCGTCAAATCTCCCTTCAGAGCCAAAGAAGACATTATACAGCTGTTTTCTCAAGCTGAGTAGGACTCTCCTCAGAAGAGTACTTTTTAGCATTTAGCATAGCACAGATTCAGCAGCCTACGCCACCCACA